TTCTTCTTCTTCTTCTTCTTCCATCCTTCTTTTCTGTCTGATACCACTGGAGAGCGCAGCCTGGCCCTCGAAAGCAACTTTGACAACCTGGGGATCAGGGATCCCTCAGATATACCTCTCCCTCAGGTCAGAACAGAGAAGCCAGCAGTGCCCCCTCCTTTGCACACTGTCGACATGCAGCTATCTTTGGGGAAGGGCAGGACAGCCATGTGGTACCAGGACCAGCCGGACTGGGGGATGAGCCACAGCTGGCTTCAGGTCAGGGTTCGGCAAGAGCCCAGGAATGACGTTCGTCACTGCTGGGGAGCCGGAAATGAAGCATCGTTCTTTTCTAGGCACTGGGAGATGGATGTAGACAAGGGTGGAAGAATGTGCTGGAGAATTTAGCCCCAGGGCATTGCGCTGTCATCGGGGACCATAGCAACGGCAGCCTGTCCTCAAACTGCAGCTGGCTGTTATCCTGGGCTGTTTCTCTGTTTGTGTTTATGTGCCTCGTTGAGATGATCATATGGGAGGAAAAAGGGGAGGAGCCCGAGCCAGAGATGCACATGAGAGACCCACAACATCTGTGTGGAGCTCCCTTCTGCACAATGGGCTTCCCATTCATTTCAGCGGCAGGGAAAGTGTTACACATTTGACCCAAAGGCACCCTTGCTTCCATCCACTGAAGTGGATGGGCTGGTCCATGTTTGTCCTGGCCCCCTGCAAGTGCATTGGAGAGCACAGTCGTTGCTCACAGCTGGGTTATTCTCCTGTGGCATTCTGACTGTGTGAATTGTAGCCTGTGTGTGGGTGAGTGGGGGTGGCAGTGGCTATGTAAACCTGCATTGCAATTCCACACGTTCAAGGTGGAAGATCACAGTGACTGTGCCACGAATACAGAACGTAAGAACAGAAGAGGAAGGCAACGTGGGCCAATGGCCCATCCAGTCCAACACTCTGTGTCACACAGTGGCCAGAAATACCAGGGGCCATCAGGAGGTCCAGCAGCGGGGCCAGGACACTAGAAGCCCTCCCACTGTTGCCCCCCCAGGCACCAAGAATACTTGCCCCAGACCGAGAGTTCCTATCTATACCTTGTGGCCAGTGTTCCCTCTAATCTGAGTTAGTGTGAGCTAGCTCACAGTTTTTTAGCCTCCGGCTCACACATTTTGGTCTTCGCTCGGGAAGGAGGGCTCCAGAGCCAACTAATTTATGCAGCAGCCAAATCGCTCGCTCACAACTTTAATGCCGGGAGCTCACAAAGTAGAAATTCTGCTCTCAAGACTCTACCACTTAGAGGGAACATTGCTTGTGGCTAATAGCGACTGATGGACCCCTGCTCCTTGTGTTTATCCAATCCCCTCTTGAAGCCGTCCATACATCTCCCACGTAGGCATTGCTGGCTCACCCCAAAATGCCTCCCTGAAAATGTGGAAAGGCACCTTGAACAAAAGGGCTGCCACAGTAAATGGGCCCTTAGATGGGGTTTGAAAAACATTAGGCAAATCTCATGAATGATATCCGTGACCTGGACAGCCAGTGTGGTGTAGTGTTTGTGTCAGTGTAGTATCTGGAAGCTCCGAGTTCAAATCCCCACTTGTGCCGTGGGAGCTCACTGGGTGACCTTGGGCCAGTCACACTCCCTTGGCCCAACCTACCTCACAGGGTTGTTGTGAGGATAAAATGGAGGAGAGGAGAAAAAAGTATGTTGGCCACTGGGGAGAAAGGTGGGGTAGGAAACAAATGAAACAAGGCCTCCGCAGCTGAATGGAACCTCCATTTGCAGAGGCAGTCTACCTCAGAGAGGTAGATGCCAGTTGCTCTGCTTTCCTCTGGGAGGGCCCCCTCAGTTGGAAACAAAAATATTAAGCTCAGAGGGGGCCTTGATCCAATGGAGTAAGGATACGTTCTTGGTGTTCTGCGGATATTTGAATGATCTCGGAGTCTTCACTCAAACGAAGAAGACCTGAGAATTTGGGGATGGGGAGGGAGGCGCTATTCAGCCCGGCTCCTGTCATTCGCGTTGCTCATCCTCTATGACTAAAGATTGGGAAATGGGCGGTGCCCATGTTCTGCGCTGGCCAGGTGCCAGAGGATGAAACGAGACACCTTGCACCACAGACGGCAGCTTGCAACCTTCTGGTATCTCCATGGGGTGTCTCCCACACACGCCTTCCTAAGATATAAAACTGGATCAAGGCACGGCCCTCTTCAGCACATCTGATTCCTTGGAGCAGGTAAGTGGCCGTCCTCTTCAAGGTCTCTTCCCCGGCCTGGTTTTCAAAGGAGCGGGTGCATGTTTGTACACTGGCGGTGGGGAAAATGTCTCATCTTCTGGAGGCCCGTCCATGCGCTCCTGACTCTTCCTGGCTTTGCTTAACAGCATCACTTTCGGACAAGTTCGGGCAGCTTTACTTTCGCAAATGAGCTTGGAACAAAACCGGGATGGGGGGCGGGCGGGCGGGCAGAAGCAAACCGAGGATTAAGGTCTCTCTTTCTTCTCCCCTAGCAAAAATACTGGCGTGGGATTCTCCGAGCCACTTGGTGGGGATTACCCAGAGGCCACGAGGAACCGACTGCCGTAGCCCAGCCAGCCATTTCCCCAAAGGGAATTATCACCGACGCGTCGAACTAAGTCACCGGCAGAAGAATGGGTTGTAAATGCTGCAAGAAGAACAAGGTCATTTGAAAGCTGTGTTCGGTCTTCCGGTGGTTTGGGGAAGGGAGAGGAGAATCAGTGGAAAGCCTGCTGGAAAATGGAGGGCAATATTTGTATATTTTTGGGATGTGATTGTGGGTCATCTGTGGACCCCTCTTCTTTCATGGACTCTTCAGTGGTGAAGGTGGTTCTTAATAGCGGTGAGAAGGCAGACGCCCAGGCTAAAGTTGCAAGATGGAGTTGACTAATGGTGGCTCTTACGATTCCAGGAGAAGATTTCCCTTAAGGCTACTGGCTCTCTGTAATGGAATTTCATAGTCTGGCCTTCCAGACCAAACTAGCTCTCTCTAGTTCTCTGGGACACTGGCATTAGGGCACACAGAGACTTGTCAGATGTTCTGGCAAATTTCTTAGCTCTTTTGGAACTACATCGAAATGTTTCAGCTAGTAGCATCTTGACGGGGGCGGCTTGGTGGTTTGGGGAAAGAAAAAAAAATCCAGGCCAGGTTTCCGGTGGCAGTTGAGATCTTTGCCAAGCCTAGCTGTAGATTTGAGTGGAATGCCAACTGGGTTGTCGTTGACGTAGGGTGAAGACCAAAGATCAGGCAGTGGAGAAGCTGTTTAATGGAAACCAGGAAGCCAAGGCACATTTCAAACTATCATGTGGGCCTCAGAGCAGTTGTCATGTGGCCAGGAAAAAGTCACGTCGGGCCCAGAATACAATAGCCAGCAGCTCAGCAAGTGGATTTAATGAGGGATGTAGATCAGTCCCCAAGCCGAATTTAAATTTCTCAGGGTAAACTGCTGGGCTCACTGAAAAAACAAGGCCCGTTCCATGGAAATAGCCAAAGGCTCCTGTTTCTCTTGGCATTCAAACAGGTTCTGGTTGGAAACAGCAATAGCACAGAGTGGAAATGAAATTTCGTAAAAGTGCCGAATTTTTCAGAATCACAGCAGAAGGCTGATCTTATCCCCCCCCCCCCGAAAGTTCAGTTTTTGATTTTGAAAGTTGACTTCCTTTAAAGAAGAAGGGGGGGTGGGCTGCCATTCTATGCTTACTTATTTGGTGTCAGCCCTATTGAATGCAGTGGACTTAATTTTGAACAAGTGTCTTTACAATCAGGATATAACCAAGCGCAGTGTCAACTCGCCGCTGCTTTATAATTTCGCATTCTCCGTACATGGGGATGTTTTAAACAACCTGGGAATGCCATAACATTAATTAGGAGACTGGACATTTGGGTTTTGTAAGCAAAGTAAGAGGACGTGCTTGCAAATGTCCGATAGCAGCGTGGTGTAATGGTTAGAATGTTGGATTAAGATGAGGGACACCCAGGTTAACATTCCCAGTTTTCCATGGAAGCTTGTTGGGTGACCTTGGGCCAGTCCCACAGTCACCGCCTAAGTTACCTCGCAGGGTTGTTGTGAGGACAGAACGGAAGAGGGCACGACGACGTAAGCTGCTTTGGCTCCCCACTGGGGAGAAAGTCAGGGTATAAATAAGTATTTGGGCTGACTTTACAAAGGAGGAAAAAAAGGGACAAAAGACAGGTTGACAGAGAGCCTGGGCATGTCTGAGCTGGAATTTCCTATGCCCTGGGATGGCTCTCTAGCACACAAAAGGAAAATCAGGATAAGCATTCCTTGAAGTAGTCCTTGAAGTAGCTTGTAACAATTGCTGATTTCCCCTGTGTGTATTATACACAGGCAGAGGGACCCCCATATGGTGGGGGTCAGTCGTGCAACAGATACATGCATGCACTGAATACTCATGTGCATCAAATGCCCATCGGACCCCCGTTAACCTTTGAAAAGAGAGGGCCTTGGATTCCTACATCGGCCCATGGGAAGGGAACCAAAGCCTGAGGCCTAAAAGGATCGGCCTGTACCATTTTGGACAAGAACAAGAAATATTGCTGTATACGTTCGTCAGATTTTCAAGTAACAATACTATTTTTTAATTTTTCAGGTATATCAAATAAATCAGAAAGACCGAAGTCCTCAAGAAAGAAGTACAAGTTTTTTTGACGAACTTTCCCGGGCTTTTGTAGTCTGTTTCGAATGGAGGTCTTTAAACAGTAGAGCTATGAGTAGCCACTCTTGAAACTTTATATACAGAGTCAAGATTGGAAGTGTAAAACACCACAGACAACATAAATTGACGTCTGAGAAAGATATTGTTCGAAACGGACTACAAAAGCCCGGGAAAGTTCGTCAAAAAAACTTGTACTTCTTTCTTGAGGACTTCGGTCTTTCTGATTTATTTGATATACCTGAAAAATTAAAAAATAGTATTGTTACTTGAAAATCTGACGAACGTATACAGCAATATTTCTTGTTCTTGTGCTATGTAAATTGCTGGATCCGGTGTAATTTTCTGTACCATTTTGGAACCTGACTGGCTGGAATCTGGAATAGATTCCACATGTGTTCCCGGAACCCTTTAGGAACTTCAGTGGGACCCCACCTGTCCTTTTCACCTGTTCCGGTTCCCATATCGCAGTGGATCTGGGTTTATGTTGGTCAGAGGAGATGGAACATATCTTTTTGACACATGCTTGATGCACTGTCAAAGGCCCGATTCCATAGATCTACCAACCAGGAGTCAGATTCGTTTAGAAGCATTCAGGGAAACCTCGATGTCTCCTGACACATTCGGAGATGGAGCATTTTACTAACTCCATCTGAAAGTAATGCATTTAAGGTTCCCTTAAGATACGAAGAGATGTGCATTCAGTCAGTTTAGGTGTAGGATGCAGAAGTATGAATAGATGAATGGACTTGTTTTGCTGTGAGAAGGAGAGAAGATGGAGTACCATTTCTCGTTTGGCACGGTGTGGAGGAGGATGTTGGTCTTCAGCGTCTGCTGTCCTGGTTTGGAATGGAGCAGGATCCACAACTATTAAAGCCTCACCCTTGGGGAAAAAAATAGACAGGATATCATCTAGAGAATAGATTGCTCAGCTACGCCGGCATGCGATCTTGGGAGTCTAATGATGCTACCGAGAGTTTCAGGGAGGGTGTAATTGTGTGGGAGGGAGACGGGCAGGTTTGACAACTTCACCGCCATCCCAAACGTCTGCTGAAATCTTGCGCCACATAATAATTCCATCTTGTCCTGTCTTTCTCCTCCATTCCTTTTGGCTTCAGAATAGCGAAGAGCTCACCGATGTCGAGAGGGCCATCGAAATCGTCATCAACAACTTTCATTGTTATGCTGTGAAGGGGCGGAAAGAGGGCCTAACTCCCGGTGAGCTGAAAGACCTGGTCGGGCAGAGGCTGCCGCATCTAGCAAAGGTAATAAGATGGGGGGTCCTGACCTGGACGGCCCAGGTTAGCCTGATCTCATCGGATCTCAGAAGCTAAGCAGGGTCAGCCGTGGTTAGTAGTTGGATGCAAGACCACCGGGGAAGTCCAGGGTTGCTGCCCAGAGGTTGGCCATGGCAAACCACCTATGAATATCTCTTGCCTTGACCTGGACGGCCCAGGTTAGTCTGATCTCATTGGATCTCAGAAGCTAAGCAGGGTCAGCCGTGGTTAGTACTTGGATGGGAGACCACCGGGGAAGTCCAGGTTCACTACGCAGGGGCAGGCAATTGCAAACCACTCCCGAAGGCCTTGAAAACCCTATGGAGCTGCCGTAAGTCGGGGGCAACTTGACGGCAGTTTCCACCACCAATGAGATGGGGAGAGCAGAGTGCAGTCAATCCGAGAGGTCACTGGGGGTCTCGAAGCCGACTGGGAAATTCCCAGAGGTTGCAGACGCGGAGGTGTGTCCGCTATCGGTTTCTTTACCTGAGCGTAGCCCCCTTTTCTCTTGCTTCATGAGGACAAGAAGTAGAATTTAAAATGTCAATTTCACACGGATCAGAGAGAGACTCTGGTGCAAGGACATAAGATCCCTCCTCTGCCAGGTCCTGTTCTCCAGACAGCCTGGCTCGAGGACAGTCAATTGCACAGAATAAAGTGTCTGCAATCAGAAACATGCCCTGAACTGGACAGCCCAGGCTAGCCCAATCTTGTCAGTTCTCGGAAGCTAAGCAGGGTCAACCCTGGTTAGGATTTGGATGGGAGGCCACCAAGGAATACAATGGTCGCTATAAAGAGGCAGGCAATGGCAAGCCGTATCTGAATGTCTCGTTCCTTGAAAGCCCTTTGGGCTCACCATAAGTTGGCTGCAACTCGATAGCATTTTCCACCAGCAATCAGAAAAATGCTCAGGGAGGAAACACAACTTCTCCTTCTCATAAACAGCAAGGTGGTTGGAGGGCAGAGAACAAAATTAAACCAGGGTGGCCAAAGAGGTTGAGTTTTCCCTGATGAGGGGAGAAGACAGCTGAAGATAACTTATAGCGGGATGCAGAGGTCATTTCGGGGGGGAACACGGGGGAACGCAGTTCCCCCGGGTGAGGTGCAGGGGGGCGGGGCACATGACGAAGCCCCGCCCCCTGCTTCCGGCTGTCCCGCTTTCAGCCCTCATTCAGCCAGGAGGAGGCAGGAGAAGAGGGAGGGTAAGTTGCTTCCTCCCCGCCTCTCCCCACCCCCCCTGCCTAGGGCCAGGGAGGGCCTTGGCGGGGCTTCCTCGCACTCCCGCTGGCCTTGCAGGTCCACCGCCGGGCCCCTGATGTCAGGGGGTGTGGCATATGCTAATGAGTTATGCTAATGAGTTCCCCTAGCTCTTTTTCTACGAAATGACCCCTTGCGGGATGGTTGTGGGGTGGGTGTAGGAAGGTGTAACAGGAAGTGTCGCTTCTGTAGGCCAGAGGAGACATCGCGAGCTGTGAATCCTCTCTCTGGGGAGCTCCTCTGCTGAATTTTCATGGCTCCTTTCCCATTGCAGGGTGCCGTCTGTTTGGACGAGAAAATCGAATGCCTCGGGGATGCAGATGAAGCCAAACTGCAGTTTGGAGAGTACTGGGACATCATGGGTGATGCAGCCAAAGGTTGCCGAGGCCAAAAGAAGTAAGAAGATCAGAGCCACAAGGCCTAGGACCGTTTACACAGCAAGAACGAGAGACTGTCTACCTTGATGTTAATGAGTTGTCAATGCAGTGTTAATATTTTGGGGGGCTCCCTTTCCACGTCTCAGGTTTTGGAGTATCAGAGAGTTTCTTTCCTTCAAGTCAAGAGTCTTTCAATTTTACTGCCCAGGTTTTCTACCTGGGCGAAAGCTCCCTTCTTCTAGATTTTTTTTCTAGAACACCACAGGCAACTAGCCTTCTAGAATGTCCCTGGTCTAGGTTCCTGACCACTCAACTCCAGAATGTGAAATGAATAGTCGTTTTCATGACACCACCTCTTGAACCAGAAAGCATCATTTTCGCATGGTCTCAGACCTTTAATTTCCAGATTTGGACTCTATGATCTTTCATTTGGCAAGTCAGAGGTTTTTTGTAGATACTTAACGTTGAAATTTAGAAAAATTCTGAGCTTCTACATCCGTTAAGCATTGCCTCCTGCATCTCTGGATTTCAAATCCACCCCCTCCCCCACATTGTATTTTTTTTCCTTTTTCCAGATCTGGAGTTGCGAATCTTATAATTATTTGCTCCAGACTCTGGAAATGTAAAATAATAAAATTTGAAAATCTTAAAACCAACCCGGAGCCAATGGTTTCTCTCTCCCATATTTGGAAGCTATTTGCTGTTCACCTGAACAATGAATTGTCTAATTGCAACTGACTCTTCATATGGAGACTATTCAGGGGGTTGAAGTACCTTCCCCTGTCAGTCTTGTTTTCAGGTTGCTAGTTCACAGAACAGAAGTGGGTTTTGTCCTGCTTTTCTTGTCATCCAAATTTACAAAGTGAATGGCTATAAAACTTTTCAATGAAGATGGGTTTGGAAAGAAATTTCTGGACTGTCTTTACCAACCACCTTCTGGACTGTGAATGTGGGGATGGGGAAGGATAGATGCCGTGGAGATGTGGGGAGGGCAGATGTGGAAAAGGAAGTGCTCAGAAATCCTGCGAATGGAGGGGTAAGAGAGCCATGAACTTGAAGTATGCTGAGAATACAAATCTTGCTTGGGGCGGACTGAAAGTTATTTGTTGGTTCCCTCCAGATAAAGTTGTGTTCCATCAGGTATCGTAGTCTGAAATGCCCGTCAGTTCCACATTCTATTTGGCTCTACCCATCGTCCACCATTTTCTAACCTGGCTCCACCCTCTAGCCAGAGTAATTTTGTAATCAAAATTTGGCAACCCTAATTTGTTCCATGCCCATTTCTTTATCTATTGTGCCTAAGCGCATTTGAGAGTAAGGGAAGAATCCTCCTCACTGGAGAGCCAGTTTGGTGTAGTGGTTAAGTGCGCGGACTCTAATCTGGGAGAACCGGGTTTGATCCCCCACGCCTCCACTTGCACCTGCTGATGTGACCTTGGGTCAGTCACAAGCTCTGGCACAGCTGTCCTTGAAAAAGAGCCGTTTGTGTCAGAGTTCTCTCAGCCCCACCCACCTCACAGGGTGTCTGTGGTGGGGAGGGGAAGGGAAAGGAGTTTGTAAGCCGCTCTGAGACTCCAAGTGAAGGGTGGGGTATAAATCCAATCTCTTCTTCTCTTCTTCTTCATATATCATCCTTATGCCACTCAGTTGTCCTTCCCAGTCTTTTAGAAGGTTCTCAATCCATCTCTAAGAATTCACCAGGAGACCTAAATAGAGAATTATGTTACCTATTTAAAAGTTGCTCTCAGGAAGGCCTAGGACCGACATATGGGCAGCTGTAGGGTAGGGATTCCAATTTTCATTTTCTCTCATTGGAAGTAAGCAAAATCCAGTGGCTATAACCAGGAGTTATATCTAACGCCTAATTCTGAGAGAGCCACCGAGCGGTCAAAACAGAAGACTTGGGGCCAAAGAAATCTGAAATCACTTTTGGTCTCCTCATGGATTAGCTACAAAAGAACGCTGGACAAATAAAATAGACCCAATATAGGCATACTGTTGCCAAACCTGAGGTAAATTCCGGAGCCAAACCCAGTACACTGAAGCCAGCCAACCAGTGGTCTGCTGACACAGGGTTTGTCCCGTCCTATCCATTTGGCAGGCTTACTGGTCACTGGTTTCTAAGAGCTGTGCTGAGTCGTGGTTCCTTACGACCTCGTGTGTTGCTTGCCATGATTTTTGTATGAATGATAAAATAAAATTTAAAAAAGGGAAAAGAATGAGTTTGAATGTCTTTCCTGGTTTCTTGTTCAAGGAGAGGGTCTCCTTAAAGTTGCTATCTTGATGGGATCTAACTAACTTGGTCAGGATTTTACCCACAAGGGTCTGTATCCACACTGTGTTATCTTAGGTCCATTTTAAGAAGCTCATATAGAACCACAGGATCACAGAGTAGGAAAGGGACATACAGGCCTTCTAGTCCAATCCCCTGCTTAGTGCAGAATCATAAGAGAACATAAGAGAAGCTGTGTCGCTGGATCAGGACAATGGCCCATCCAGTCTAACACTCGGTGTCACACAGTGACCAAAAACCAAGTGCCATCAGGAGGTCCACCAGTGGGGCCAGAACTCCAGAAGCACTCCCCTTGTTGCTCCTCAGACAACAAGAAGACAGAGCATCACTGCCCCAGACAGAGTGTTCCATCTATACCTGGTGGTTAAGAGCCCCTCATGGACCTCTACTCCATATGTTTATCCAGTCCTCTCTTGAAGGTGTCTGTGCTTGCAGCCGCCATCCCTTCCTGTGGCAGTGATATCCACGTTTTAACGATTCTTTGGGTGAAGAAGCACTTCCTTTGATCTGTCCTAAGCCTAATGCTCATTAATTTCATGGAGTTTTTGGCTAAACGCTAGAGTGTCCCCTGCATGACGTGCCCAGTGTGATGATGTTGCTTCTGGGTGATGTCATGGAGGTGCACGAGCTTTGCACGCACACCAGGAGAGCAGGCTGGACCCCCCCTCTGGCAGAAGGCAAGGACCCGGCAACCCTACAGCCTAGAGCTGGCAACCCTAAGCATCAGCCCATAGACAGTATCCCATCAAGACTCTTTGAAAGGGGACGGTCATTTTTTCTCCAGGTTGTCAACTAATTCTGAGGTTCTACATCAGGGGTGTCAAACATGCAGCCTGGGGGCCAGATCAGGCCCCCGGAGGACTTCTATCAGGCCTGCAGTGGAACTGGCTGTCTCCTGCCTCTTCTTCCAGTTCTGCTGCTGCTGCATCATCGTAGGTTTGCAGGTTACAGATACACACCTGAAGAGCATACTCAAGACTGCAACAGCACAGACATTTTGATGCAGTAATTCAGAGCAAGAGGTGTCAGTCATCAGACACTGTTAAATAAACAAAATATTGCAAGAGTGCTAACGTTTTAAGCATGTTTTTATTTTAAGTTAAAAAAAACCCCTTTGTGTTTGTGTCCTTTATAAAGTTTATATCTCCGCTACCTGGCATTACATTCTATGGCACACATGATGCCCGGCCCAACAAGGTCTCATTCATGTCAGATCCGGCTCTCATAACAAATGAGTTCGACACCCCTGTTCTAGATCTTTGATCCCTTATTTGTGTGTGCGCGTGCATGCGTGTCGAAGTGGGGAATCAAAGTTTCAATAAATAAAAATAAATAGAATCGCCATTCGCCAGAGGTAATCTCTCTTCCCAGGGTATTTAGAAGTTAGAATGGAGGCTAGATTACTCTTGCATTTACACCCCCTGCAGATCAATGCATGGTTTGCCAATTTGTACAGGGCCCTACGCACATGCATTCATACCACAACTGCCAAGCTGCCGTATCTCTTTAAACCGAAATAATCAACATCCTCTTGGCTATTAAATGCAGGATATGGCATAGCCCAGTAAACAAATCCGGTAAACAGCACATAGAGAGGAGGCTTCAGGTATTTGAGTGTGGGAGGCCTGGGACCTGGGCCAGGCTCCTTGGTATGAGAACCGGATTGTTGCGTGGATGTCACCATTTTGGAGGGCATGTCCTCACAGCTGTGGAACCCTGGAATTTGCCCACAGATGACGCATGGTACATGGAACCCAATGCAAAGTGGATGTCGAAGTGTGGAACGTCCTATACGACTCGGGGAAATTTTGGTGTAGTGGTTAAGTGTGCGGACTCTAATCTGGGAGAACCGGGTTTGAGTCCCCACTCCTCCACTTGCACCTGCTGATGTGACCTTGGGTCAGTCACAAGCTCTGGCACAGCTGTCCTTGGAAAAGAGCAGTTTCTGTCAGAGTTCTCTCAGCCCCACCCACCTCACATTGTGTCTGTGGTGGGGAGGGGACGGGAAAGGAGTTTGTAAGCCGCTCTGAGACTCCAAGTGAAGGGGGGGATATAAATCCAATCTCTTCTTCTCTTCTTCTCCTTGTCCTTCGATGTGGCCGAAATTTTGAATTAGTAATTCGGCAGGGCCTTCCTGAGCCAAACGAAATTGTCTCGCGGGCGGCATTTACACTCTGATTTCTCAGTTGGTAGTTTCTGGCCTAGGGTTGCCAACTCTGAGCTGGGAAATTCCTGGAGGTTTGGGGTGGAGCCTGGGGAGGGAGGAATTTGGGGAGGGACCTCAGCAGGATATATTGCCAAAGAGGCCACACTCCAAAGAGGACATTTTCTCTAGGGGAACTGATCTCTGTGGCCTGAAGACCAGCAGTAATTCTGGAAGATCTCCAAGCCTCACCAGAAGGTTGTCAACCCTAAATCTTCTGGCCTAGTAGACAGAGAAGAACACTGGGCTGCTGAGCATATGCAAAGTTCTTTTTCTATAGATCTTAAAATTGATCCCAGCTCTTGATGGCATTTAAAGGTATTCACATTAAAGGTAAAGGTTCCCTTGCTCGAAAGCTAGTCGAATCTGACTCTAGGGTTGCGGTGCTCATCTCCGTTTCAAAAGCCGAAGAGCCAGCGCTGTCCGAAGACGTTTCCGTGGTCATGTGGCCGGCATGACTAAACACCAAGCCGCACGGGACGCTGTTACCTTCCCACCGAAGTGGTACCTATTTATCTACTTGCAATTTCTTGCTTTCGAACTGCTAGGTTGGCAGGAGCTGGAACTAGAGACGGGAGCTCACTCCGTCATGCGGCACACTCGGGTCTCGAAATGGGTTTCTAACAGACACAGTGGAGTATAATCAGGCTCATAAAATATGGGGTTTGTGTAAGCAGGCAATCCATCTCTTCTCTTCTGTGGATTGGTTTGAGGGAGGGAAGTTTCAGTGCTGAGCAGAAGAGTCCTAGCGACAAAAGCAATCTGTCCTTTCCTGCCGGGCTGGTGCTCAGAAACTGAGGTTGCCTCCCAGACTTGCAGTTGATGTCCAAATGAGAGAGATGAGTTCCCTTGGACAAAATCAGGCCAGTAGCTACAGTGGGGCCTCTTGGGGCCTGGCCCCCTGACTTCATGCCCAGGCCCCCCAACAGCGAGAGGGAGAGAAAAGAGTCCTTGTCAGGGGTCATTTCCTGCGGGAGCGGACAGGAGTGGAGCTCCGGCAGTAAAGAGCCCAGGGGGTGGGCACATGCAACAAGCCCCACCCCCTGCTCACAGCAGCCCTCAGTCAGAGCGAGAAAGGTGTTGCCTTCTGACACGCTGCCAGTGATGCCAGGGGGCATGGCATATGCAAATATGCTAATGAATTATGCTAATGAGCTCCTGCACCTCTTTTTCTACGAAATGACCCCTGGTCCTTGTGTTTGTTTTGCGTTTGGTTCAGAGGTCTGCGGGCTGACAAACTGAGAACAGAGGATGCATCGTTTATTCTGGCTGAAAAGTGCATGTGTGTGTGCCCCAGAGAAAAAAAATGCATAATGTGTACCCCAGAGGAAAAATAGTCGTCCCACAAACTGGAAAAATCCTGGCTACGGCCCTGGACAAAAGGGTTGCTTTGGAGAGTGGATTCAATGGTATCAGGGGTAATTTCCTGCAGGAGCGCACAGGAGCAGAGCTCTGGCAGTAAAGAACCCATGGGGCGGGCACATGCAACAAGCCCCACCCCCTGCTCCCAGCAGCCCTCAGTCAGAGCGAGAAAGGTGTTGCCTTCTGACACGCTGCCAGTGATGCCAGGGGGCATGGCATATGCAAATATGCTAATGAATTATGCTAATGAGCTCCTGCACCTCTTTTTCTACGAAATGACCCCTGGTCCTTGTGTTTGTTTTGCGTTTGGTTCAGAGGTCTGCGGGCTGACAAACTGAGAACAGAGGATGCATCGTTTATTCTGGCTGAAAAGTGCATGTGTGTGTGCCCCAGAGAAAAAAAATGCATAATGTGTACCCCAGAGGAAAAATAGTCGTCCCACAAACTGGAAAAATCCTGGCTACGGCCCTGGACAAAAGGGTTGCTTTGGAGAGTGGATTCAATGGTATCAGGGGTAATTTCCTGCAGGAGCGCACAGGA